AGGCTGTGCTCCTCAGTCCCCTCCATGTGCTCAGCACTGATTATCTCTCTCCTTCCATCTGTAGCCACTGTTCACCAGTCCTATCCACACCATGCCACGCAGCTCCATGCCCACCAGCCGCAGCCGGCCACCACGCCTACGGGGAGCCAGCCCCAGTCCCAGCATGCGGCCCCCAGTCCTGTCCAGGTGCTTGCCTTGGGGGAGTTGAGTGGTCGGGGCAGGAGTGGGTGGCTGAGGGAAAGCGGTAGAGCTTGGGGTATTTCCCCAGCGGGGTAGATTAGGGGTCCTGGGTATCAGAGCAGTGAGTGGCACTTAACCTTCCCCTTCACCTGACAGCACCAGGCAGGGCAGGCCCCACACCTGGGCAGTGGACAGCCACAGCAGAATCTGTACCACCCAGGGGCCCTGACAGGCACGCCTCCTTCTCTGCCACCGGGACCTTCTGCCCAGTCCCCTCAGAGCAGCTTCCCCCAACCAGCTGCTGTGTATGCCATCCATGCCCACCAGCAGCTGCCCCACGGCTTCACCAACATGGCCCATGTTACCCAGGTAAGAACTCCAGGAACCTGCTTTGTCTGGGTTTGTTCTGCCATGAGGACCTGGGCCACGAGACTGTCCATTCCTGAGTCCCTGGTGCCGTGCTGCCTCTACGGCATGCTCCTGACACTAGGATTCTTGGCGCCTTTGTCAGGCTTCTGTGGTGCTCCTAACTACTCTCTGTTTTCTGCAGGCCCATGTCCAAACTGGAATCACAGCAGCCCCGCCCCCTCACCCTGGGGCTCCCCACCCGCCCCAGGTGATGCTGCTGCACCCACCCCAGAGCCATGGGGGACCCCCCCAAGGCGCAGTGCCCCAGAGTGGGGTGCCTGCACTCTCAGCTTCCACACCCTCACCCTACCCCTACATCGGACACCCCCAAGGTGAGCAGCCTGGCCAGGCGCCTGGATTTCCAGGAGGAGCCGATGACAGGATTCGTGAGTTCTCGTTAGCTGGGGGAATTTGGCATGGAAGAGCTGATGGGCTGCAGGTGGGGCAGGATGCACGGGTTCTGGGTGGGGAGTGAGGGGTCTTGGAGGCAGGGCTGTCCCACAGGGCGCCTGCCGACCTGCACCTGTCTGTGAAGTATGTAGGGTGGGCAGAAGCCACAGTCGCCGCCGCCAGGGGCTTGCTCCTGGCTCTGTCCTTTGCTTCCCTCCGTCCTCGCTCAGTTGTGATCCAGCAGCCCCCCTCCCCACTGCCTCCCCAGCTCTCAGTGACCCCGACTGTCTCCTGACTTAGCCGAGGTAAGGTCAGCGCAGCAGACAGGGCCAGGCTGGGGTGTGGGGGGCTGAGCTGGGCACACGAGTAAGGGCTCTGGCTCACTGGGAAACAGTGTTTGATTTGTGCTTCTGACAGCCCCATGAGACACCTTGAGGAGGCCGCTCCTACCCACACTCCCCCCACACCCCACACTGGACGGCATTGGATGAAGGGACAGCTGCTTGGGTTCTAATGCTCCTGCTCTCTTCTCTTTCCCCTCCAACCAGTTCAATCTCATCCCTCCCAGCAGCTCCCCTTCCACCCCCCGGGGAACTGAAGATTGTCCTGGCCGCGACCTGAGACCTCCATGAGTGGAGGGAAGAGTGATCTCTATGTCTCTTCCCCCAGCAGCTCGGACCAGTCCCAGCTCCCCAAACCCCCCCTTTCCCCGGGGGAGCTGGGGAATTCCTGCCAAGCACCTTGAATGGGAGAGGCCTCAAAGTGGGTGGGCCAGGGTCCAGCGGGGGTGGGGGGGTTCCTGCTCTGCCCCTGCCCATCCCCACCCCATCTTGCCCTCCCATCCTCTTGTCCCCCACTGGAAACGGAAGATCTTTTATTTTCTATTATTTATATGTCAGACTCGGGCCCCCGTTCTTTCTTCCCCATTAACTTGAGTGACCTGTGTGAGAGACAGATGCCCCACAAGGATGGTTGGACAAGGACTTTTACTTTTTATTACATAAAAATATAAAAAAAAATTAAAAAAATAAAATTTTAAACTAACTTAACCTGCCTAAAGTTTACTTTTTGGAGAATACAGTTAAGATTGTGGCCATCAGTCTTAAATGTGGTGATACGGTTCCCAAGGTGGGCCCTTCAGCCTGAGGATGCTGCCCTTCTGGCTCTACTGCTGTACAGGTCCCCAACCTCCTAGTGAATTTTCTCACCTCCAGATTGGTCCTCATGAAGTACAGCTGATTGAAATGCACTTCTGTGTGTTTGGCCACTGGAAATAAAGGTTTGGTGAGTGGTCTTGGGTATGGGTGAGACCTATAAAAAGGAAGTTGCAGTGGGAAAAGGGGGAGGGCTAGATTGAGGGGCCAGGTGATGGGGAATTGGAGCTAAACTAGGACAAGAACCAAGCATGAGATGTAGAAAAATCAGGCTTCAGAGGTTTGGGGTTTTTTATTCCAGGAATTCTTTTTTTGACCTGGCCTTGGTTTTGTCTGTGAAATAGAGATTATTTCACCCTTAGGGGATTGTAAGGACTGGTGCTTAATTGTAGGCAGGGGAATTTTAGCTCTGAGCAAAGCCAGAGAAAATTGGCTGGGACTGGGACAGGAAGAATGAAGATGAGCTATTGGGGAAGAATTCCCAGGATCTGAAACCTGGTGGGCATGGGGTTTGGGAGGGAGGGTAAGTTTTGAGGTCCCAAATTAAAGAGCTCTCTAGGGGATGTCAGTTGGGTTTGTGGGGGCAATGATGGAAGAAGCAGGAAAACCTTTCCGAGAGGGAGAGAGAGTAACAGCAATAGGGCCTCTTGCACACCCCCACTGGGGATCAAGCCCACAACCTGAGCATGTGCCCCAACCAACCAGCAACCTGGGCATATACCCTGACCAGGAATCAAACTTCGACCCTTGGTTCATAGGTTGAGACAACCACTAAACCACACTGGCCGGGCAGGCCTGAGGATGTTTGAAGTGCAGGTCTCTAGTACTGTGAGTGATGTAATTGCAGATGCTAATAGTACTTTTTTTTTAATATGTATTTTTTACTTCAGAGGGAGAGAGAGAAACATCAATGATGAGAATCACTGATAGGCTGCCTCCTGCATGGGGCCTACTAGGGCATGTGCCCTTGACTGGAATCGAACCCGGGACTCTTCAGTCCGAAGGCCCACGCTCTATCCACTGAGCCAAACCACCTAGGGCAAGTAGTAGTATTTCTAAAAAAAAAAACACCCATTTTTTAAAGATTTTGTAGAGAAACATGGGTGTGAGAAACATCTATTGGTTGCCTCCCATACACACCTGAACTGGGGATCGAACCCACAACCTAGGGATGTGCCTGACTGGGAATCAAACTGGCGGCCTTTTGGTGAATGGGACACTTAACAGCCACACCGACCAGGGCCCTGCTAGTCCTTTTGATGTGTTAAGAATTGCAGATTGGCTTTATCTTACCCCTAAGAGCAGAAATCTCAAAAGTTGGGAGCTTATACTCCAGCCAGCCAGGAATCCCCCTCTTAATCCTAAATCCTCCTTCCCTTGAGCCTCTTCTCATGAGTCAAATCAGGTTCTGAGTTTTTCCAAACAGCCCTCAGCCTCCCGTCTCAGGACTGCTTAGTAGGATGGATGTCTGGGATATACTCATTGTCAGGATCCAAGTTTGAAAGGTGTACCCATTATTCCCTGCTGAATGTTACCTTTTTTTGTTTGTTTCAAGGCAGCATCCTGGTCAGTAGGTTCAATTTTTTTTTCCTCTTTTTAAGATTGATTTTAGAGAGACATTGATTTGTTGTTCCACTTTGGTATGCATTCACTGGTTGATTCTTTTATGTACCCCGACCAGGGATCAAACACATAACCTTGGTGCATCAAGATGCCGCTCTAACCCACTTAACTACCCAGCCAGGGCCTCAATTTTTTAAAAACCTCAGCATTTTATTCCGATTATTTGATACAGCATTTTTCTCAAACGTTGAAAAGCGAAACCTTCATTCTACACCTTCTCAAGCCTATTTGGAATTGGTGACCACAATAATAACCCATCAAGCACAGACTATATGGGTGCTGGTTCCAGAGGTAAGATACGTATCAGAGCTTAAACAGGGAGAGCTAGACACTAATGCCAGTGCCTACACAAGGAGGAAATGAGCTGAGCCCATGCTGGCTCCAAGTGATAAATCCTTTCCCACCGTCTCCCAAAAAGACATCCGCTAATACTCTACTGTAGCATACAAAGCTCACAAGACTAGCTTTCAGCCCTTTGGCTTCTCTCCAGTTGCCACAGCAAAGAGGAGCTTTCATTGAGATGAACTAAGGCTAGAGAGAGAACTCAGTTAAAATAGCCGGCTCCAGGGCACCTCCTGGGCTTGTGGCTCCCCCATTTTTTTTTTTTAATATATTTGATTGAGTTTTACAGAGAGGAAGGGAGAGAGATAGTTAGAAACGTTGATGAGAGAAACATCGATCAGCTGCCTCTTGCACACCCCCCACTGGGGATGTGCCCACAACCAAGGTACATGCCCTTGACCGGAATCAAACCTGGGACCCTTCAGTTCGCAGGCTGACACTCTATCCACTGAGCCAAAGCGGTTAGGGTGGCTCCCCCACTTTTTAAAAGATATTTTTATTGATTTCAGAAGAGAGGGAGAGGAACATCGATGAGAGAAAATCATTGATAGGCTGCCTCCTTCATGTCTCCCCACTGGGATCAAGCCCAGGTATATGCCCTGACCAGGAATTGAACCATGACCTGGTTCATTGAGCCACGCCAGCCTGGCTCTGGCTCCCTTTTTATATTCCTCCATCCTCCCAACTTAAACAAAGGACACAAGACCCAGGCTAGCTTACTATTCACAGAACAGTTTATTGACCTACCTCACCTGGCAGGCCGTGTGGCCCTTCTGGCCAGGAGAAGTGATGGTCTAGTTGCAACTCTGCTGGGTTGCAGCCTATGCCCTGGGAAGGGGGCATGAGAAACAGAACACTGGCCAGCACAGCCCTGCATATAAGAGCCTGAGCAGAGGTCCGCACTCAACTCCACTTGATGTTCTTGTCCTCCTCAGTCATGGCTGGTGTGTCGGTGACGAGGCCAGTGCCAATGGTCCGGTTGCCATCTCGCAGAGTAAAACGCTGGCCTTTTTCTAAGATCATTGGTTGCCGCAAGATTAGGCTAAGCTTCAGGTCCTCCCCAGGCATAGCAAGCTCCTAGAGGGGACAGAAACAGGGATCATGCTTGGCCTTCAAGATGTCTTTATTCCAACTGTTTTGCTGGCTACCAAACTGACTGTGGGGAAATGCAGCATGATGATGATTTCTGGGAACAGCTTCATCCCAGCTGCCAGGCAGATGCAAAGGCAAAAAAAAAAAAAAAAAGGGCCACTGATCAGTATTCCTAAGGTATGTTCTTAAGGGAAAATGTTGAAATTTTGGGCTATGTAGGGTCTCTTAGGGAACTTCTCTAAGCCCTACGTATAGTAAAACTCTCAAGAAGAAATATTTCTTTTCTGAAGAAGTCTCTGGGTAAATGGTAATATAACTAAGTTTTCACTACTTCAGCCTAGGCAGTGGGTTGGCAAACTGGTGGCTCTCGAGCCACATGCGGC